CAGCGGAAGAGAGGGGTGGCGGGGGTTGGTGGTGGTGGAGAGGGGGAGGCAAGTAGTGGAGGTCCGGTGGGCCGATGATGGTGAAGGTGCGAGTGAAAGGTGAGAGAGGAAGTCAAAAAGTTGTAATAACGAAAAAGAGTGAATTACAGTGGAAGAGAGGGGTGGCGGGGGTTGTTGGTGGGGGGAGGGGGAGGGGCGAGTGGAGAAGGTCCGGTGGGCCAAAGATGGTGGAGGTGCGAGTGAAAGGTGAGAGAGGATGTTGAAAAGTTTAAAAATGCGGACAGAGAAGAAGAAGAAGGAGGAGGAGAAGAAGGAGACGTTTCTTAATTTTTCATTAAAATCACCACTTTTTGACCGCTTATATCTCCAGAACGGCTTGACCGATTTAAAATTTTTTTGGCTCAAATTACTCGTGGCGATGCCGCCTTTCAGGACATATGACGTTCGATTCAAAATTTTTTATATTTTAATAGTTATGCACCTCCCAAAAATGGACTTTGGTGGCTCGGGATAAGAGACTTGTAGCGTTCACAGTTTTTTTTAACATGGCCGGAGACGCTACCGCGTCTCCTGATTAATGATCTTAGATCGACAATTTTGTCAAAATTTTATCGCACTTCGTTCTTATATTTATCTTATTTCCATTATTTAATTATTTTAATTTAAATTACGGAAAGATGAGAAGAGAGATGCAAAACTCGAAGCACGCACACGTTTTTCTTTAGTTTCTATCTGTCGCAATACTTATTGTTAGCAATATCTCGAGCTTCCATTAAGCTCCCTGGGAATCCTTTAGTCGCAACTGAGATGCGAAGGTCGAGCTCAAGACTGCGTAGGTCGGAGACTAATTACCAACTAATTTGTTCTCGTCCCGAACGGGAGAAAACATATTTCCTAGGCCACATGGACAATATCGTCCGCATTTTCTCCAATAATTGCTCCGGGAAGACAGCCCAAACCACAATCAAATAAATTATTCACTCTGTCGATCGATAGATAGCGTTGAGAATAGAACTTTTTCGACTATTCTGACTCGCGTGTATTTTAGTTTGGGATTTATAAAAATACAAATCTTACACTACTTTTATGTAGCGAGATTATATAATAAGACACTTTGGATATCTGAACATACTTCGTATAGGAAGCTGAAATTTAAGAATGTGGCTTGCTGTACAATTTAGCACTATATAGAGAGAATACTGTATATATAATTATAATGTATTTAAATTAACACATAACTTAGCAAATTTTGTCGATGCGTCGATCCCGTCGTAGATATTTATATGGTGTCATCCTAGCTGTGGTACGGATTGCAGGGCGGATTATTGGAAGTCCCAAGGCCGCAAGTTCTGCGACTTCTGCAAGTGCTGGATCGCCGATAATAAACCGAGTATCGACTTCCATGAGGGCGGCAAGAAACACAAGGAAAATGTCAGCAAGCGACTCAAGGAGATCCACAAGAATAGTGCCAAACAGGCAAAACAAAATAAAAAATTCGAGGACGACCTCAAGAAAATGGAAAATGTATGCATACACAGACGTTGATTAAGACATTAAAATACTGATGATAAGTAATAATTTTTTTTTCGTACAGGCAGCTATGGCTGCGTACTTGAAGGATGTTGAAAATAACACGCAAGATATGACTGCTCAGAGAATCATTAAAGAGAAACTGAATAGGATAGAAACAAAAGAAGTGAGTTGTACCTAAAGCTCTTAATTTAATGCTTAATTCTAGATATTATGTCAAGAAGTATAATGATATTAGATGCAATATTTTTAAAGATTGCGCAAAAAAGAATATTTTTTATACATTAAAATAATAAAATCTAAACTATTACATACTTTTTTTATTTAGTGTTTAGTGTAATGTAATATGTGTATTTCTAGACGCCTCAAAAGTGTAACAGTATGCCGTCAGCCAATCCAGAGACGGTATCAAGATTGAAAAGTAATAGTGAACAGGTGCGTAAATTAATGTTTCTAATGATTTAATGATCGAAACATTATTAAAACGTAATGTAATGATATTAAACAAAACAAGTACTTACCTTGTTTATTTATAAAATTTCCATTATAAATATTAGATCATTTACGACATCTTTGATTAATACTTCCGGTATTTTCTAAGAAAACTAGAACGTGATTTATCAATGCGAAGTGACTTTCTAAATGAAACTTTTCCAGGCCTTACCAAAAATGGATCCTTGCGATCCGACAACTTTATCAAAGAACGCACTGTCGTTGCCACGAGTCCAGCACAGCGGCGAGAACAGGATTCCGGGGAAGAGTAAATCGGGCAAGGCGAAGGGAAAAGGGAAGAAAACTCAGGAGGATGATCGTCCGACCGCAACCGTCAGAAAACTGTGGTATGAGGCTCGCAGTCCCGAAGGGTACACTTACTATTGGCATATTGAAACGAACGGTGCGTGTACATACCTCTATCAAATTTTTTATTTTTTTTTGCACATCTGCCTTTTGAATATCTTTTTTCATCAGACAGTAACTATTATTACCATATATATAATAATATGTCGGCATTCTATTTTTCTTGCAGTCGTTTTAACAGCAATTCTTATATTTGCTAATACAAATACGAAGCCTATAACAGTCTAGCTTGGATCTTAGTTGATGATATATAATTTCGCGTGAATTTATATATGTAATCTTTCTAAACTGCGCACCGAACAATTGTCGGTCTTGAAACGCAATTCTAATAAATTACCGCAGTACTAACACGAATTAAATTGATTAACAATTTAACACTTAATTGAGGGGCTGGATTCTATAAGGGGATACGCCAGGGTAGCCAGGATTTCGCGGGATAAGTATTGTCCGCAGGGTTAATTTCGGACAACGCTCTAATTTCAATTTTGACGACTGATTTTTGTAGAAAATTTCATAGCGCAATATTTTTGTCTGTAAATCAAATTTATAACTTTTTTTGTTTTCAAATTATAAACAAAAAAGTAATTTTTAAAATAAAAAAATTTCAATAGACTTTTGTGTTTAACTCGTCATATCTCAGCCAAATATGAATATTCTTTGACATTTTCACATAATAAACTTCAATATGTTTCTTGAAATATAGAGCATATAAAAAGTTTTCGAAATATTTCAAAATGCCGAATTTTTCAAAACAATTCTCTCGAATTCGTAGTTTTATTCATTCGATCACAAAAGTTATCGTACGAATTTTCGATTTGTCAACTTCTATCGGTGCTATAATTTTGTTTATTAAGTTAAGAAAGTTTTTTTGGAAAGTTTTAGCTCTTCAAATATTATGGTTGTAAAGTAAATACCGATTTATATGTCAATCCGATTACGTAGCGCGCTGCGAGCATCGCGAAAGTTCGAACCGTTCGCTTCCGCGAAACAAGGGTATCAATAATATTTATTATATTCTTTGTTATTGATTTGAATATGTATGTTTTTGGCTCGTAGCCTTTATATTGTATTTAATTTTAAATTCTATCTTTAAAAACCTAAGAGGTACTATCCTTATTACTTATTTAATTTTAATGATATGTATCATTTGTATAAAAGATTTGATATCAACAGTCGGCGCCAAGTTAAATTCTATTCGACGTCGTTTTATAAAAACACAAATTATTTTCTATAATATATAATTTTTGTTTTTACTGTAGAAAATTATTTTCCAATTAGAGAATTATGTTTTGAAGCAGAAAATTTGTTTTTAATAACACGTATTATTTGTACCAACAACCGTATATAAACTTACCTTTTTAAAAAAAGGTAAAAAAAGCGCTAAGGGTGTGTGTTTCTGGTAAAAAAAAAATCATTTAGGCCAGTTTTACCACAACCCCAATTATTTAATCGGCTGTGGAACTGACTAGGTAATCACATTTGCTATTTAGGGTGTATTCCGAACTGGGTTAATTTAACTTATTTTTTTTCCTAGATTTTGGTAGCTCCGTAACTAAACCGAAAAGTGTTCCGAATCTAACGAATGGTCATATGTATGAACATATGTTATATTAACAACCGTCCGTCGGATTCGGAACACTTTTCGGTTTAGTTACGGAACTGTCAACATCTAGGAAAAAAAATAAGCTAAACTAACCCGGTTCGGAATACACCCTTATGTTAGTAGAACAACGCTAATTAATTAATCGGCTATGGAATTGACTAATCATATTTCCTGTTTAGTAAAAAAATTCTACTGATATAAAAACATTTAGGCCAGTTTTACCAACGGCAATTACTTAATTGGTTGTGAAACTAACTAATCACATTTGTTGTTTAGTAGAATATTAGCCTTATTATTTACTTAAATTTAATGACATGTATCATTTGTATAAAAGTTTTGATATCAACAGTCGGCGCCAAGTTAAATTCTACTAATCACATTTGCTGTTTAGTAGAATTTAAAAACCTACGTGGTATTATCCTTATTATTTTCTTAAATCTAATGACATGTATCACTTGTATATCCTTATTATTTACTTAAATTATTATCCTTATTATTTACTAGGGAATGGAAGTACTCGTTACTTTTAACGAAGTTACAGTTACAAGTTATAATACTTTTTTGGTAACTTTACTGGTAAGTGCGTTATTTTCTTTTTTTGGTAACTGTAACGGGGGGTAACGTAGTTACATTTTTTGAATAACGGTAACGAAATTTACAGTTACTTTATCGTTACTTTGCATACATTGGATACGTTATTCTGTTATATAACAATTACATGTTATTAATTACGACAGCTATAAATGTGATTGTAGAATATTCAGAGTTTTTATTTAACCCGTTAACGCCCAAGCGGACACTTTTTCGGCACGATTTTCAACGACATTATTTTTAATGTTAACGCCTTGAAAAAAATTGTTGAATCATGATTTCTGACGTAAAATTTCGTGCTCTTTCAGAATCCATCGTCAGAATTGACATACATTGCTTATAAAATTAAATATGGCGACTTGAATGTAAAAAAAACGCGAAAAAACGCGTGTAATTTTTTTTCGTCAATTTTTTTTATAACAAAAATCTGTACGCTATCAGTTCTAACCTACCCTATAAGTGGTCAAAATAGTTGTACTTTTTGAATAAATTTTTTGTAATATTTTAAAATCATCTTGGAATTTTTAAAATGGCCGCCAATGCGTTAAAAAACTAACTATAAGGTCGACATAGATTTTATTTGGGAACTGTTGGATGTTACTGAAGAAGAGAAGGGAGAGAGAATTCTGACGTTACTTTTATACATACATATTACCATGAAAATTGACTCATATATTATCGAAGGTGCCAGTTCAAAGTAAACATAAGGATAGTACCTCTTGGGTTCTTAAAGATAGAATTTAACTTGGCGTACAAATGATACGTGTCACTAGATTTAAGAAAATAATAAGGTAAAAAAAACAACAGTTCCCTTCTCTTCTTCTTTAGTAATACTCCAACAGTTCCGAACTTACGTCTGATTTGACTAAGTAATTTATTCAAAAAGTACAACTATTTTGACCACTTATAGGGTAGGTTAGAACTGATAGCGTATAAATTTTCGTTATGAAAAAAATTGACGAAAAAAATTACGCTCGTTTTTTCGCGTTTTTTTTACATTTAAGTCGCCATATTTAATTTTCTAAGCATTGTATGTCAATTCTGACATAATTTGGTATAAGAATTCTATTAAAATTAATACTGATCTTTTGTGATTCGTCTTTGAAATATAAAAAACTGTTATTTTGATCTCTCACCTAGAACACTATATTTAATTCAAGATTGTGGAGCGCAAGAGAATTCTTTTGAAAATAATACTCATCTTTTGTGTTTCATTTTTGAAAAAAGCTGTTATTTCATTTAAAAATAATGTCGTTGAAAATCGTGCCGAAAAAGTGTCCGCTTGGGCGTTAACGGGTTAATACAAGCGTAAAAGCTATATTTAGTTTACCTTAATCTAAACATCATACATATTTTGTTCTAATTGAGCTGTGTACAAAGCTTTACTCTGTACATACATTTCTGTGTATATTTATGTTGAGCAATTGGTTGTATCTTCATAAAGTATACATTTTCAAAATATTATTCTAATTCATAATTAATATTGTGAAGAAGGATTGTTCTGTTAATCAATTTCGTAATAACATTATACCAAAACGCTTATTACGTTTATTAGTGTATTTATTCCAATGTCAAAATATTAGTCCAGTAGTGGAAGCCGGGACGAAACGCCAAAAATTACGTGATATTCTTCGCAATATATAATATTAGAATAAATTATCAAAATTAGATTTCATATTGTAATTTGACTCTTATTCGCCTTATTTAACGTGTGAATTATTATTAAAAATAATAGAGTCCTTTAAACCTTCAATTCATTTGTTTTCAAACCGCAGGCTGTAACGATGCGGATAATACATTGTAAAGTCTTTTCATTAAGTTAAATTATCAGTTTCTAGATTTAACATTTATAGTTGCGTTTCAAGACCGAAATCCATCGGCGCGCAAATATTTAGAGGGGGGGGGGATATTTCAGATGATTAGAGTTGCGTTGCAAGTCCGAAATCCTTTCGGCGCGCAATTTGGGGGGGGTGGGAGGTTAACACATATATTACTTTGAATAAATATATTGCGAAGAATATTACTACGTCGACTCGCCATCAGAGGTCTATAGATATTCGCAAAGATTCTCGCAAGTGCTTAGATACGCGTATATCTGTATATATAGATTCTCGATCTAATAACTTAAACAGGCGTCTAAGGTAGGCTTCCACTACATTGCCTTACTGATGAATCCAGTAGTGGAAGCCGGGACGAAACGCCAAAAATTACGTGATATTCTTCGCAATATATAATATTAGAATAAATTATCAAAATTAGATTTCATATTGTAATTTGACTCTTATTCGCCTTATTTAACGTGTGAATTATTGTTTTAATTATAGCGTTATAATTTTCTTTCTATCAAAATATTTCATTTACAGCTAAAAGTATAGGTTAAGTAAAAATATAGCTGTATTATAATAAAGAGATTATGTGTATTTCTTAACTTTCTTTTTAATTTCTAACTTATATTGTGATTCAGATAGTGTTATACAATCCTATATAACCTTCTAGTTTTCTGCAAAGTATAAAAAAAGCCAGTTTCACCAACGCCAATTACTTAATCGGCTGTAGAACCGACTAATCATATTTGCTGTTTAGTAGACCAAGATGTAACCTAGACCAAGATGTAACTTAGATAACCTAGACCAAGATGTAACTTAGATCTAATGATATGTATCATTTGTATAGAAGATCTTTGAAAACCCGTATGGTACTATTCTTATTAAATTCTACTAAATTAAATAGTAAAACCCATGTAGTTCTTATTCTTCTTGAAAGATCTTTCTATTTCAATCCAAATGGTTTAATTCTTCTTAAAAAATATAAATAGTAAAACCCATGTAGTACTATCTTTATCC